GCGGCGCCCGCGCTCCGCCAGCGGCGCAGGCTCCTCGACCCATCGAATCAACCTGGATGGAAGAGACCCCAAAGATCATCGAGTCCAACCCTATCGCTGTCACCAGCCCATGGCACTAACTGCCACATCCAGTCTCAGCTTGAAAACCTCCAGGGATGGTGAATCCATCACCTTTCTGAGTCCAGAGCCTCCTCCTCCTTCTGGTCCTCCCCCGTGTGCTCGCGGAGCTTCGGCATGCAGCAATTAAGGCAAAAAAAGGGTCAAAAAAGCCCTTTAGAGGCTAAAGGGACCGTAGTGGAGTGTCTCACCCAGCAGCTCTTGTCCCCACTGGTCTCTGAGCTGTGGGACATGTTTGCAGCCACGGTGGAGAGTAAGACACAGGGTTCAGCATCAGCGACACAGCAGAGTCAAATGAGAGTTTCATAGAATCATGGAATATCCTGAGCTGGAAGAGACCCACAAGGGTCATCAGTTCAACTTCTGTCCCTGCCCAGGACACGCCAACAACCCACCATGTGCCTGAGAACATTGGACAAAGACTCCTGGAGCTCTGTCAGCCTTGGGGCTGTGACCACTGCCCTGGGGAGCTGTTCAGTGCCCAAACACCTCTGGGGGAAGAACCTCTGTTTGATATCCAACCTAACCCTGTTTCAGTGCCCAAACACCTCTGGGGGAAGAACCTCTGTTTGATATCCAACCTAACCCTGTTTCAGTGCCCAAACACCTCACCTCTGGGGACCTTTGCTTAATCTCCTACCTAACCCTCCCCTGACACAGCTCCATGCCAATTTGGTGTGGGGGGACACAAAGAGGATGTCAACTCTGGTGCCAATCAGTGGCAGTTCCCCCTCAGACCCTTTCCTAAAGGGATTCAACCCTTCACATTGCTTCCACTTAAAAAAGTCATCTTGCTCCATGTGCTTCTGATGATGAAGCAACACTGCAAGCCCAAGATGTTGATCTGAACTGATGCCACTCACTTGCTTAATTTGGTGTGGGGGGACACAAAGAGGATGTCAACTCTGGTGCCAATCAGTGGCAGTTCCCCCTCAGACCCTTTCCTAAAGGGATTCAACCCTTCACATTGCTTCCACTTAAAAAAGTCATCTTGCTCCATGTGCTTCTGATGATGAAGCAACACTGCAAGCCCAAGATGTTGATCTGAACTGATGCCACTCACTTGCTTACACCCTGAATGGCCAAAGAGCACCGTGCTGAGAGGCAAAGCTGAAGCACTTAACCTTTTTCGTGACTTCTGAGATGTTGATCCACAGGAGAAAAAAAATTGACTTATGTTCCTACCTGCTCCTCAGAAGGCAAATATTTGTCCCCTTTGCCAGATGCCAAACCTGACAGGTCCCAGAATGACCATGAGTGCTGCAGCTCACAGAGACTTGGATGGTGCTTCAGCAAGTGAGATCCTCTCCTGGGCTTAGTCGGAGCTCAGCAAAATGAGCACACAGGGAAATACACTCTGAAGGTGCTGAGGCACTGGCACAGGTTGCTCAGAAAAGCTGTGGCTGCTCCATCCCTGGAAGCATTCAAGGCCAGATTGAACAGGGCTTGAGGCAACCTGGGTTAGTGGGAGATGTCCCTGCCCGGGGCAGGGGGTTGGTACAAGAAGATCTTTAAGGTCCCTTCCCAACCAAACTGTCCTGGGATTCTGTGATCTGCCCAGGTGACCTCAGAGGCTGCAGCCAAAACATAATTTAAATCCCAGGTGCTTTTATATGAACTAATGACTCCAAAATAATCCCAGCTGGAAGATCATGACTAGGAACCACAATCATCCAGGGAGCAGCCAGGGTAGACACAACCCTACTCAGACTCTGCTCTGAGTGGCCAGGGTGATACCACACAGCTCCTGCTCCTTTCCCTTGGGATGTGGCTGGGCTGAGAGCTTTGGGATCTGGCCTGCTGTTAATAGCTGGCCCTGAGAGCAGACCTTGCAAGAGTCATTGTGTCTGTGCCAGCAGCAGTTGCTTCACCAGCTCAGATAGTTAATCACCAAAGGCCTGAGGGAGTGGAAGTGTGAGAGCTTCCTGCCAGCCACCAGTGTGCCCATCCCCAGGTCAGCACCGCACCCCAGGGCTGCTGGGGGGTTTGGTGCTCAGGATTGAAAGGCTTTTGCTGTCTGTGCTGGATGCAGAGCTGGAGGGATCCCCTGGGGCAGCTGCTGCTGACCTGAACATCCCTGCTCAGGAGATTGAAGGGGATCACTGTGGTCCTGGCACCTGCAGACTTTGGTGGTGACATTACTGCAGCCTTCCTGTACCTGAAGAGAGCTGGAGAGAGACTTTGGGCAAGGGTCTGGAGAGACAGACACAGGGAATGGCATCACACTGCCAGAGGGAAGGGATAGATGAGATATTGGGAAGCATTTCCTCCCTGTGAGGGTACTGAGGCATTGGCACAGCTTGCCCAGAGAAGCTGTGGCTGCTCCATCCCTGGGAGAGTTCAAGGACCACCAGGAGAGCAGTGAGATTTTGGAGCAGCACCTAGAGACCAGGTAGGGCACCCCATAGTGATGGAGCCAGTCCATGGCACAATTCTCCCTGGTCAAGCACCAAACCATGAGTCTCTTCAGGTGCTAAAGGCTAAATCATCTATATTTCAGTGTTCCAGGCCAGGTTGGAGCAACCTGGGCTAGTGGAAGGTGTCCCTGCCCATGGCAAGGGGGTTGGAACTGGATGATCTTCAGGGTCCCTTCTAACCTATGGGATGGTGGAGCTCAGCCTGTCTCTAAACCCCCAAAATGCCAAAAAGCAGAAGCACCTGAGTTATTCTGACTTTTATTTCATTGCTTCTTAGTCCACACAGTCGGTATAAAATCAGAAAAGCAAAGCCAAAAAAAAAAAAGAACCCCAAAAAAACCCAAAATGAAACAAAACCCAACAGCAACAGTGTCTGGAGTCCTCAGAGGCAGCCTGGGGTCTGTGCTGGTGCCTGTTAAATTCATGGCCAGACACTCTGCTGACACAGACAGAGGACAGACCTCTCACTCCAGTGCCAGAGCCACTGCTCCAGTCAGAGCTGTAGAGCTGTTTCTGTCCCTCTGGCCCACGGAGGGGGAAAAAGGAACCTTGGTTATAAATGCTTTATTAAAAATAATAGTAAGAGCAAATCTAAGTACAAAAGCAGTTATAGCTCCTTTATATTACACAGAATTACTTCTCATTCCTAGCTCTGGTGTTTTACCTCACGGTCGTTAACTGAATTTCCAGTGACTAAGGTTAAATGGCTTAGCAGGATAAGGAATGGTAAATAGATAGCACCATTTCATACATCTGGTATTTGATCTCAGAGATACACTGGGTTGGCTTCTTTCTCAGGGGCAGTTTAGCTCCAGAGCAAGGACAGAGCACGTTTCAGGGGTGGGAGCAGCAGTTCCCAGCGGCTCAGCACGGCTTGGCACACACCCCAACCCCCAGGAACAGCACCAGGGGCACCCCCAGCACCCACGTGGGTGCTGCAGGACACCCTGTGCTGGACTGCAGCTCCACCTAAGTGATTTAATAGCCCAAATTCCCAGTGGGTGTGGTGGCAAGGCAATGGGACTTAGGCACTTAAGTCATTTAGGCACTTGGGGCAATCAAAGCCTTAAGTTAGCTCTGAAATCCTTCAAACCTTTTGGAAGTGTCTCCCATCAGATCTGGATGTGCACTTTGGTTACCAGGATCACAGCATGTGGCAGGAGCAGGGAGCAACCCTCCAGCTCTGATTTCCACCAGCTTAAAACCAGTCAGAGCTGGGGGGTCTGAGGGTTCCCCATGGGCTGGGAGAGGCAAGGAGAGCTCAGGGCAAAGAGGAGTTTGCATGAGAGAAAAATCACTGCGCTCTTGTTACACTGTTAGGAGTAATAATAGTTCCTTAGGCACTTGCTTTAGGCTTTAAAACAGCACATGGTCAACAAAAGCAAACAAGACTATGTACATATATGTAAAAAGTGTTATAAATAGGTTTTTTAAACCATAGATACTATATACATCCTCAATTAACAAGTAACCCTCGGAGTGTTTCCTGTTGGGGCTGGGATTGGGGGTTTTGGGGGGGGGGAAAGGGTTTATTCCTTGGATTTTTTGGTTAATTTCCGTTTTCTCGTCTCTTTGCCTCTGTCTCCTCCGTGGATGTCAGGAGTGGCCTGGGCAGGTCAGGTCACCTCATGCAGCATCACTCGCGTTTCCGTAGGATGACGTAGATGATGCCGCTGGCCAGGGCCAGGGGGGGCCAACCATGCCAGGATGTAGGCGAAGCCGTAGGAGGTGTGTTCTGAGGCTTGGTGCCAGTCCGTGTGCCTCACTGTGAAGATGGCAGCGCCGCTCATCACGCAGAGCCCTGGCAGGAGGGACACAGCGAGGGGTTAGTGGGGCCATGCATGGATCATTCCCTGCTGGAAATGCACAGCTAGGCAGGGTAACACCCAAAAACTGGTTTGTTATTGTCTCCTTGTGCCTGTTTCCTGGAAAATCATAGAATTTTAGGGGTTGGAATGGAGCTTAGAGATGATCCAGCCCCAACCCCTGCCCTGGGCAGGGACATCTCCCACCAGAGCAGGTTACTCAAGCCTTGAGCCAACCTGGCTGTGAACACTGCCAGGGCTGGGGCAGCCACAGCCTCCCTGGGCAACCTGGGACAGTGTCTCACCACCCTCATGGGAAAAACGTCTTCCTAAAAGGCACAACAAACACTTTGCATCAGTCCCAAGACACTGACCAGAGTGCAGAGCAGTCAGGGAAGGAGAAGCCTCTCAGAGATGCAGCCCATGTGCCTGGCACAGCTACCCCCAGCCCAAGGACAAGACTCCTGATTGCCACAGATTACACAAAAACATCTCTCCATTGGGCTGTGGGTGCACAGGAGATTTGCTCTGCTGCAGCTCCCAATATCTAGCCTAAATTTCCCCTCCTTCAGTTTGAATCCGTTACCCCTTGTCCTGTCCCTGCAGGACCCAGCATGTGCCCCAGGGGTGTCTGGCCAGGCTCAGCTCCAGTAGGCAGCGTTGAAGCTTTGTTGCCAAACCCACCCATCAGCACTAGGCCTGCCCAGAGCCAACACAAAGCCACCTCTATTCCTGCCCAAAAAACAAGCTCTTTTAGTCAATCCCAGCAGTTCTATTATACAGTCGTGGGGCTGTTGTTGGAGCTGAGTTCCAAATCCCCTGCCTAGACCTCAGGACCACCTACATTTAACCACTGTGATATTTGAGCTGCAATTCCACTTGACACTGCTCCTTTTGTTCTGGGAAAGTGCAGAAGTGGGAATACACTTCATTAAGGCGCTGCTGGAGCAGTTTCCATTCTCTGAGCACAGGAGCCAACTCCCACTGCTCAGCCCATGCACAGAGAGCACAGCCAATGTGTGCCCAGGCTGTGGGACAGGGACAGGCATGAGGCCACCACAGTCACCTACAGACAGTGAGAATACAGCACCAATTGTCCCCAGGAGGAATTCAGCAG